GCTTGGTGGTACATGCCTGTAATCTCAGCTACTCGGGAGGCCTAGGCAGGAGAATCGCTTGAACCTGGGAGGCGGAGGTTGCAGTGAGCCGAGATCGTGCCATTGCACTCCAGCCTGGGCAACAAGAGTAAAACGCTGTCTCAAAAAAAAAAGTTTTGAAAAGCGTTAAATACTAAAAAAAATGAATGATGCAATAATCATTATTATCACCAAAGCAATTACAAATAAAAATGCTGGTTTGCTACAGAATGGGAGAAAGTATTCGCATCTGGCAAAGGTCTAATATCTAGCATCGATAAGGAGATGAAATAACCCCATTAAAAAGTGGGCAAAGGACTCAAATAGACACTTCGAAAGAATATATACATGCAGCCAACAAGCATATGAAAAAAAGCTCAATCACTGATCATTAGAGAAATGCAAATCAAAACCATAATGAGATACCATCTCACACCAGTCAGAATGGCTATTATCAAAAAGTAAAAAATAACAAATGCTGGCAAGGTTGTTGAGAAAAGGGAATTCTTATACACTGAAGGTAGGAGTGTAAATTAGTTCAACCATTGTGGAAAGCAGTATGGTGATTCCTCAAAGAGCCAAAAGCAGAACTACCCTTTCTTTGACTCAGCAATCCTATTACTGTACATATACCCAGAGGAATGTAAATCATTCTACCATAAAGACACATGCACATGAACGTTCACAGCAGCACTATTCACAATAGCAAAGGGATGGAATCAACCTAAATCCCATTAATGATAGATAGTATAAAGAAAATGTGATTATATATACACCATGGAATACTATGCAGCCATAAAAAAGAATAAGCTCATGTCTTTCGTGGGAATCTCAAAAGACGGAGTTGGAGAGGATACTATCCTTAGCAAACTAACTCAGGAACAGAAAACCAGATACCACATGTTCTCACTTGTAAGTGGGGATGAGAACTCACCAACACAAAGAAGGCAACAACAGACACTGGGGCCTACTTGAGGGTGAAGGGTGGGAGGAGGGAGAGCAGCAGAAAAAATAACTATTGGGTACTAGGCTTAATACCTGGGTGATGAAATAATTGTACAACCAGCCTCCGTGGTACAACCAGCCCCCGTGACACGAGTTTAACTGTATAACAAACCTGCACGTTTTCTAAAATTTAAATATCTTTAAAAGTTTGTAAGGTTGAGAGGGTAAGAGAAGGAAGAGAGAGGAGTATGACATGTGGCTCAGACCAAGAGAATTGCTATAGCAGGAAACTGGTAAGGGGACAGTGAGGATGAAGGCAGAAAAACCAAAAGGACAGTCCTTATCATGTTTACAATTTTGTGTAGGGCTAGCCTAAGTCTAAAAGTAATAGCAATATATTTGCCAAGATAATAACTATATATTTAGTTCACTGATATAAAGCATAATGCTTATTTTCGATTGAAGAGTCCACTTACGTGTTTTTGAAACCAGTATAACAGCAATATATAAATTTTCCCCAATAGGAATCTCCTTGTGGTTGAGCTATGGAAATGAAATTCGGAATTTTATGATTTTCCCTCCTCCTCACTTGCATAATGGGCTACTTACATAACTACACACCTCTTACCTCACACTATGGCACTAAGCTAATTATAAAAGCCTGTTTAAATCTAGCCACCTGTCTTTTGTTTTGCTGCCTACCTGGGCCTTTTCCAAACAGGCAGAAAAATCTCCTATCAGTCTGTTACCACAACCAGAATGCAAGAGATTAGCGACCAGGGAGAGAAGCAGAATCAGTTTACATCCTTTCAGGCAAGAGAATAGTATTACTTCACAAGCAAGAAATCTGGGGCCCCCGAACTTAATTTAGGAAACCTGCAGTTAATCATCATGTTAAAGTTGGTTTTACATGCGAGACAGTTTTTGTTTCCTCTGTTATTTTTACAATTTGAGTGTCCTTTGTGATTACCAAAATTATTTGCTGAAAGGCATATATGAACATTTAAAATATTAAATCCACAATAAAGTAGGTCTTACAGTTTAGGTATATTTGAATTAAAATACACTCAGTGTCAATTTTTAAAAAAGCTTAAAAAAACATTGCTTGTATTTATCCAGAGCACAATTTAGCAATCTAATTCTGTTAATTATGACAATTAATATGCTTAATTTCTTTCTTAATTGAGGAATAAAAAGGTTTTTAACTGTAACCCGACAACCCAAATAAAGAATCATATAAATCTCACCACTGGCACACACTCACCTCTCTCCCAAAAGGTCAATTGTTTCTTGAAGGAAAGAGAACTAAGCCTGAAGCTACAAATTTGGCAAGGAAACCGGGTCAAAGAACAGCTGTGCAAAGTCAGGGAGAACTAGGCAGGTGATCAGGTCAGTATGCAGAGGTTCTGATGACACTCAATTGAACCTGGCTTCTTTTTCATGATCGAATTCTTAATGAAAACAAATCTAATTAACACCATAAGCCAAAACCAGGCACAAGTGGTCTTTTTAAAGTGTGGTTAACTTTCACTTACCATTATACTAGAGAAACAATATTACTGAACCACTTCAGCTGTTTCATGTGATTTACAAGTCATCCCTGTGAGTTACTAAAATGAGTCTACAGACACCTGTTCTCTTTTACAGAGTGATTTTCTCTGTCTGTGTGTGTGTGTGCGCGCGCGGATATGTCCATGTGTTGGGGGACGGTAGAGTTATTGAAATGAATACTCCAGCCATGGAGATGATGCTTACAGAATGAAAATGCAGTGTGGGTCTATATATATATATACTGACATAGATGAAAAGTTATAATGGCATTTTTTTGTACAACAAAAATTTAGATTTATTACATATTTATTTCCAAGGTACCTTTGTTATTATGAAAACAGAACTAATACTTGGTCAAAAAACAAAAACAAAAAACCCAAAAAACAAAAAAACACCACTTCACAATGTCAGGTTTTCCACTTCCATGATAAAGGGAAAAAATATCTATTGCATACATGGAATCAGTCTCCCTTGGGTAAGTCTAGGGAGGAAAAAAAGGAAACATGGGATGAATTTGAAAAAGTTTAAAAAGATGCTTTTGACTGCACCAAGACTACTCTAGTAAATTAAGTATATACTAGAATCTATGAGGCTCTGTTGGTTACATCGTGTGTATTTTTGGCATTTTTAAAATCTTCATCTTTCTCCTCTTAAAAATACGGATAAAAATTTACCAGGTTTTAATGATAACAAATTAAAATATTACTCAGTTTCCTATCTGCCTTTAGCATCAAATGTAGAGCCTTACAGAAATATTATCTTAAAAGTTAAATGTGGTACAGTCTTCAAAAGAGATAATACATAAGTATTACTATTATTTTTCAATAAGCAATTGAACTAAAAGTTTAGGGCCTTTTTAAACCAATGTTTTATAACTTAAAAAAATTATTTCAGTTTCTTTTGATAATCACTGTATTAACAGCAGCTATGTAATTAGAAGGTCATAGTACTTAAAACATCAAAAACCATGGAATGTCTTTAATTTGGTCAGATATTTACTGATTAAGTCATTATTTACTTATCTTTTACAAACAACCTTAAAACGAGATAATAAAACACACCATCCAGTAACATAACATGTTTAGCTGAAGAAGAGTTACCCTTACGGTTCTTTTCTAGTAACTCAAGATGACTAGTCTCCTCATGAAACATAGCAAAAAAAAAAAAAAAAAAAAAAAGTTACAAAATACTACAGCTATTTTCCCCTATGATCAAACTTCAACTTTAAATCAAAAATATTGCTAAACATCTTATAAAAATTCAGATTGCAGTCTTTTAAATGACTTCTACAGTAGTAACAATATTCATATATATAATTTAAAATTCTCAAAGCAGGTCCATTGCAAAAACAAAACAAAACAATACAAAACCTGACAGTACAGATCAAGGATACCTAATCCAAAAGTCTGAAATTGCTCAAAAATCTGAAACTTGAGCGCCAACGTGACGGATTACGGATGTGCAACCGTAATAATTTCCTAAGTTTCTTTCTGAACTAAAAAGTGGAAGTTGATTATAGAAAGGAACTTAGAGCATTTACAATAAGCTTTTTTTTGGTAGCCATGTTTAGTAATCATTTTGCAGGTTTTAAAAAACTGTCAGTATCAAAAATGGCCTAAAAGTATACTAACAGAATGGAAGGGGAAATTTAAATCTTTGCTTTCAGTAACCCTGTAAGTATTTTTGGATCTATAGGATTTATTTAAAGTAAATTTAGTAAAGAATATTTACTATCCCTTATGAAAATATCAATTTGATAAAAATAATATTTTTTCTCAATTTCAATTAAACATTTACTGTGTATTTAGTATATTACACATCAGGCACTGTGCTGGGTGCTTTCTAAAAAATTTTCTGCTCTAAATTTCCTCAATAAAAGCAGCTAAAGTGTTAAGTCAAAACCTTTCCAAGTAAGTAATTTATCTTTTAAATGTTAGGTATGGACACACACACACACACACACACACACACACACACACACAGAGTTTCTTCTGGTTAAACTACTTATCACACGAATAGTTGCTATCATCCTTGAAACAAAAAGGCCAACCTCCATTTGCATTATGGGAATATTGCTCATTTAATTAATCCAAACCACCTGTCTAAGTAGCAATCGCAATCTGTACTTCAATGTTAAACAGATCCAGCTGAAATACAACCTTCCTAATTCTGATCAGTTTGAGAACTATTTTTTCCACAGTTAAAGGGGTCACTATAAACCCCAAAACTGGCATTGTTTTCCTTTGATTAGGTTACAGTAGCTTAAGTCTCTAAACACTAGAATTCCTCACACAGCTGTTAATTGTGGACCAGGGGACTGGTTCACATCTGCTTCTCACTTATTTCATTAATGGTTCACTTTCAGGTCCTAAAAGGATTGTACCCCTCCCCAAAAATACTGTGGAACCCATCTATATCTGCCTTCTACATAGCTGACTTGTTCTGGTTTGTCTCTCTCTATACAATGTAAATCTCAGTGAACTCACATCTGTCACAGATCGACCCAATTCGTGGGCAATCTTTTCCCATCGACCTGGAGTCCCTCCTGGGAACTTAACCATACTTCTTGTCAGTTGGCTGAGGTCCTCTTCTGTCCATTCAGGTGCCTGCAAAACATTAAAGAAAATAAAAAAAGATAATTGGGAGAATAAAAAAGATAATTGGGAGATAACTGCTGTGAAGCAAATTATTGGCAATATGCTTTCTGTAAAAAACAATGCTAAGTTGTATCTAATAGTAAGATTTGAGCTGCATATTTAACACTGGAATGCAAAGCTCTAGAAGCCTATTTCATTTTCCTACGTATACTAACTAAGAAAGCATAAATATTGCAAAACCAGGTTTTGTAGACATTTTTTAAAAAAGACTATTCGGTTTTGAATTAAAGTGAGAAACCATTCTCAAAGCTTATGAAATGCATCCTTGCTATAAAATGCAGTGCTGCTCAGAAATGCCTCACATAAAGTTACTATTAAAGGTCTCTCTTTTTGTTTGTTTTAAATACACACTTTAAAAAAAGCAAAAAAAAAAAAAACAACAACAAAACACAAGTATAAATGAAATGTGAACAAGTAAATATACTGGTCTGAAATCAGAATTGCGACAAGACACTTTTTGATCATTCTATGTAATGATGTTCAATTTTAAAATAATATTTTTTCAAGAAGTTTAGCTTGTCAAATGTCACTACATTTTTTTTTTTAAACTTCGGAACAGAAATAAAATTAGAAACTCTTGTGGCCAAGACTCAAACCATCAAGTCCATGTAAAGCGGTATTTCATTTCATTTTGACCATTTCATTATGGTCAACTTTTAGCTTTGATCAAACGATTAAACTAAATTTAAAAATACCTTAGAGATTATAAACATGCAAAAATTCTTACAGCAAACATATTCTCTGCATTTTACTCAGCACTACCAGTGGTCAAACCCCAAAGTGAGCACAGTGAAATAAATCTTTATCAAACGACAAAAAACCATGTTACAATTATTTCACATTACATTTTAGCACTTAACTATTCCCCACCAGAGGCAATAAAGCACTCTGGTATTAAACAATACTCCAGTAGCCAGCAGAGAGATTGAGGAAGCCTACCTTATTTTCCTTTAATTAAAATGAAAGAATGAAAGAGAAAGAAAGAGAGAAAGAAGGAACTCTTTGAGGCAAATACCTTTTCTAATCACTATTTCCGATAATGAACAGGCATGCATCAGGCAGTTTGCATTACAGAACCATCAGCACAGAACAACAGTCAGAGGTGAGTGACCCCAGGGACTATCTCCACAGCTACAGCAAAGCTTCTCCCTGACACTAATCCTCCCTGTCATTCTCCCACTGTGCTCTAACCACACTGACATCCGCCTGCCTCACTGCAAGCTTAACGGGGCCCTTCCTGACTTTTTACTGTCTCCCCCAATCAATGGTTCAAGCGTGCTCTTTTCACCATGTCCAAATGGCAGCTTCACTCATAATCAAAGTGCATTGCCCCTGTTAAAGGGCTTTCCGAAAGGCTCTTCCATTTGCATTCATTTGCAAAGCAAACTACTTTTATTCACTTTGTTCTGCTATCAAGAATGTTCCCTGAAGCAGATAAATTGGCATAAATACAACCTGCCACTTAAGAGTCAGTAAATAATAGCCAATAGTAGGGAGGATTTTATCAATCATTCTATTTTGTATCCACTAAGAGCTGAAAGCCTCAAACATATTCATCAGTACAGCGTCTACAATACATGCATAAATTCACTTATATAAAAAGGTAGCCCACATTGGGTCTGGTCGGAATTTCTTTGATATTTAATGAATATCAGAAATCTAATTATTGATATCAGATGACTTAAAAATTTACACGGAGGATTTTTTCTTTCTCCTTGTCTTTATTTAAGGAAAAAAGTATTATTCTTATTCAGCTACTATTTAGAGAAATATATTTGGATTTTAAAGGAAATCATAGCTTTATTGCTAAAAAGCTTTAATAAGTAGACCAATCAGTTTCAGAAATACAAAAGACTTAAGTTTAGGCAGAATTTAAATAAGCTTACAGTAAAAGATCACGTCATGAAGAGCGTGAAGTTGATCACTGCATAAAGATATATACTGATCAAATCATACAGTATGTACAAAATCACACTAAATCAAATTACCTAATTTCTATGTTATTTTAACATTTTTGAAGCAAAAAAAATTGTCTACAATGTCTAAAATATAAATCATTGTTTCATATAGTAAGCTAAGTCTTTAAAATAATTTCTGTTTTTAACAGATCGGCTTCCCAAATACTCTCTGCATATATAAACGTTGGCATTAAAAACAAATCTGATTTTAATTAGATTAATGAGGGTGTAAAAATATAGTACTTTTCTGAAAAATAAAAATTTTATATAAAGTATTTGGATTGAATTCCTGAAAAATCACCTACTGCTATGACAGTCTTAAGTTTCATAGTTCTTTTATGGCCATAATTTTTATTATTAATATTTTTAAAGAGGCTTGATAGTGACTAGGGCCATAATCTGAAATCTGAGAGAACCCTTTTAGCAATGCATTATTCTCCCTCCTACAGCTGTAAGGCACTTCGGTGAATGTGTAATTCCTTGGCAATAGTTAGTTGTGTCTTTAGAAGCAACAGAGCCTCCTGTGATCCAGCTACTACAGCAGCCATGAGGGTGGCCATGGTGTGAATGTATTCTCCCTGTTCTAATCTGGAGCCAACTGTAGCTGTGAAAGTCAAATGAATGCATAAGCATACTGCTTTGCCACTTAAAACCATGTGTGTCCAATACTACCGAAACACTGGGCCAAATATTCATCTCTACAGTAAAGTAATGGAAGACACCACATGGTGTGGAGACAGCTGTTGTGACTACACAAGCATTCCAATTTTGCATCAGAAAAGCCCATTCTGGGAATAAATCTCCATACTGAATACAAAATAAAAAGTTTTCAAATTATTCAATATTTTAATGTAATGACCTCAAAATATAGCAACCAAAGTAAGAACTGATATGAAAACAAATTATATTCTCAAATTATGTCCCTTTGGGATGGATTTTTGCCATGAAACCCACTATGTTCAAAGATTTGGTGTCTGAAAATCCTCTATATTTTTGGGGTAAGGCTGTATTTTTAAAGTGATCTACATGTACTTTTCTTCTCACAGCTTTGGACTATAAAATGTTAATTAGAAAGCATCATGTAATTTATCTGGCACTAAAAATTACGGCAAAATTTAAAAATTTTTTAATGTACTTATTTATTGTATTTTTATACTTTAAAGACAAAAGGCTCAATTTCTATCTAATAAATAGATACCAAAACTCTCTAACGAGCAATACTTCTACTGAAATGGCCTATTAATAATCATTATTTATATAAATACGGAAGTCAAAATTTTGGACTCAACTATTTTTAGTAGATTCACCTCAACTCATAAATTCTCAGAAATTTTATCCAAGAAAATAATATTCTTACATAGCATCACCCAGTGAATATATAACACATTATTAGATATACGTAACACAATATTAGATATACATAACACATTATTAGATATATATACACATGTTAGATGTATATATCTAATATTTATTAGATGGTATGGGATGAGATTGGATGTCTAATAATCTAATTATCTCCTACCCTCTTAAATTCTATAAACAAACTTTTAGTGCATTTAATTCAGTGCATAGTTTTCAGCTATACAATTTTCCTTTCCAATTTAAAAATGGAGGCATGCTCTTGACAAACATATATAAATACATGGTATAAAAACAACAACAAAATTAAAAACTAAATGACCTCAAAGGTCTTTTTACTCTTAGGAAGAGAAATTCCTTTTTGAGGCCTATCTTCCTGACTTGCAGTTGGCTGCCTTCTTGCTCAGTCTTCACATGGCCTTTCGTGTGTGTGTGTGTGTGTGTGTGTGTGTGTGTGTGTGTGTGTGTCAGGGTGGGGGGAATGGGGGAGTCTGTTGTCTCTCTTCCTTTTCTTTTAAGAATACCAATACTATCGATTTAGGTGCCCACCCTTCCGACTTCATTAACATTAATTATCTCCTTACAGGCCCTATCTTTAAATACAGTCACATTGGGAGTTAGGGCTTCAACATGTGAATTTGGGGGCACACAATTCCATTCAGAACAGGCAGGACACAAAAAATCAAAAACTAAAACAGAAGTCCACAATTTGGCCCAACTGGTTTTTCAAAATTCACTGAATTTATACAATACATAGATAAAAGGGCAGGAATTGGCTTTTGTGCCTCTATGACACTGGCTCTGAATTAACATCTGCTGAAATACACCAATTGGCAAACCTTTGTGCCCTTAATCAATATTGGGGATCCCCCCAAATTTAAACAAGGGTCCCCCTATAATCTTAGGGGAGTTATTGAACATAATATAAAGGACAAGTATGCATGCCTCACCCTAACCACAGGAATTCTGTCTTGCCTTAATTCCCCATGGTCATCACACCCATTGTTCTAAAATATCCCATAGTGGTCATGGACTCTCTGACCCAATGAGTAATGAATTAATTTTAAGTCTTTGGCACTAACAAATTGCCTTTTTAAAATGGACTCATGGACCTACTGCTTCCCCATTAAAACAGTTAATATAGCCAGATGTAAATTAAAACAGGGCCTTCAATGATTAAAACCCACTATACAAGACCTATTTAGAAAAGGGGTGACTATCCCCACTGCCTGTCCATTTAACAGCCCAATTTGACCAGTTTTTACACTTGGGAGGAATGTATGGTACCTCCTGGTGGATTACTTCAACTTCAATGCTGTGGACTTCACTAAGGACCCATACCCAATATAACTGAAATTACTGACTTCATCTAACCAGCAAATGGTAAATATTTTGCTAGTATAGATTTGGTGAATATGTTTTGTTCAGTGCCTATTTCAACACTCTTGACTGCAGTTTGCCTCCAAAGGGACCCAACTACCACGGGGTACTACAAACAGCCGCACTGTAACATACAATCTTTGAGGGCAAGATTGAAACTGCACCCTACTTTTCCCAGGAATGCCCGTATGACATCACACTGATGACCTCCTCTGCTGAGGAGATTCCTTTGATACACTCACTCGGGAC